ACTAATCGCACTATCTTCGGCTGAAGCAGAATATATCGCCCTCTGTACTGCGACCAAGGAAGGACTCTACCTACGAGAGTTGCTCGAGGAAGCGAAGATCGCGACCCTGCCCGTCTTCTCACTCCTCTGCGACAACCAATCTGCGATCAAAATCGCGAACAAGGACGGCTTCACCAACCGAACCAAACACATTGCCCTGCGGTACTTTTTCGTCAAAGATGAAATCGCGAAGGGGAGACTTCAACTCAGTTACTGCCCTACAACAGAAATGGCCGCAGACTACCTGACGAAGAAACTGGCGAAGGCGAAGTTCGATTACTGCATGCTGCTGACTGGGCAGACAAACGTCACCGGATCTGAACACGTCAGCACTCCAGAAACGAAGGGGAGTGTTGGAAATATCTCAAGGACTTAAGCGTTTCTGAAGTGTAACATCACACTCAAGGAAGCTCGTAACGAGTACGCGAGTCAACGGAGGTTACACGAGGGGATGGACAAAGAACACGAAAGGACTCGAAGGGTCGCAACCGGAGGTTGCGACTGACCGTTACAACTGCAAGAATGGTAACCGAAGCGACAATCGAGTCGCTGTGTGACTCGATAAACTGCCATTCAACTGTATTCTACAACTGCTTGTTCTACTTTCTATATATTGCTGTATGCTTGTTCACTTTAATCAATCACTTGTTCTCATATACTAGTACAAGGGTTCAACTACTCAACTTCCGCTGCACTACTCAAGTCTCAATCCTCAACTGGGACTTAGTCTCTGGAAAGATCCTAAGGGCTTTTATCAGCCCAACAAGGACTTTCCCCCAACACACCTTCGACTTGAAAAACCTCCCCCCCCCACCCCTTCTCCGATGGGCAAGCCAAATCGCGGATAGTGCGCGCCATGCTCGCTGCATCCCATCCCTTGCGCGCATTGCCGCCGGTTTCGGGCTCCGCGGAATCAAGCTTCTAACTACTTCTAGTAGCGGGATCGGGCCTTCGTGACAGAGGACTCGTGCGATGCACGTGTCGCACAAGGTAATTGGTGTCGCGGCATCTTCTACTTTTTGGGCGCCTCTAAAATAGGCTTCGAGTCGAACCACGGGACGAATGTATCTTGGTGACCTGGTAAGATCGCATTTCATGCAGTGACGACGCTACAATTTTGATCGAACGAGAATAAATACGAGCGTTTTTTTACGGAATCTGCGAAGTGAACAAACACGGGACACCTCGTCAATAATGGAGGATATGATTATTGGATACAAAGATGAGGGCATGTTTTTAGTCGGTGTCATCATAAGCTTGTGTCATCCGGGAAAGTTGGAAAACCAATCACATGCATTTTGCTGCAATTTTACATCATACGATTGGTTTCGAGCTCTCTCGTATGACACCAACTTGGAATGACCCTGATTTGAAACAGGCCTTGTGAGGGAGGGAGGGCAGACAATGAGTTTGGTGAGGGCGTGGTACATATCGATGTCTCTGGGGGTCACGGTAGAGGTGAGGGCCTGAGGTCCACCTCCACCACATAAAACCGTACTGACTCACTATTATCCTTATCAGACCGAAACTAACCGTTCTGAAGGCAACGGGTCCAGTGGTATCGGACCCTTCCCGGAATGCAACGCGCCCTACTGGAAGAGGACGACGGAGCCCAAGCCAAAGTCCAAAGTTTCGTGTCGCGGATGACAGGGGTGTTGAATACGGGTCGTCCAAGTTATGTGGTTTCCAGGTTGGAGGAAGCGAGTCTTTGCCAAGTGAAAGGCGGCCCTCGAAGGGATTGGTCGGGATGCAATTTCCAGACGTTTTGGTGGGCCAACACACACCGGATGGCGAGCCTGGCGAAGAAGCAACATTTGTGATTTGCGAATTCATGTCTCGCGTCACTCTAGCATCACTTCACTGCCTTTCGTCCACCCCAGCTCTCGCGGCCCATGCGCTAAGTCACCCACTGTGCTTTGTAGACTTGTCCCCTCCCATCCTGCATATTTGTTCAGTAAGCAGCAGGCAATTGATCCATACATTACTCTATCAGTGAGGAGCAATCTTTTGGCACAAGAAATCTGGAACGCCCAGAGAATGCGCCACGGCCTCGAATACAATTATTTGCGACTAAAACCTTGTTTTACCTATTCCCATTATACTATTTAGCGTATATAACAATGAATAAGAGGAGGTATTCCTTCTATCATACAATTTCCACGAGACAGAATATGGAAAAATACATGGGATGTCCCAACATCCCACGTGCGTTATTCATTTAACCAATTGCCTTTATTCGCCTGTATAGTTACGTACCTCCCAATTTTGCACACCTATATCAAGTTTCGCAAATATAACCGTTTGTTTCTTCATAGAGAGCATGCGACAAGTTTTTTTCTCTACTGCGGTGCTCAATGTCACTCTTGTCGTCCGTCCAATATTTTTTTACAGAAGCCATTTCCCTTCATGTGTGTAGCTTCACGTCCCGACCGCCACGCGTCATTACGTCCCTCAAATGTTGGGGGAACGTAAGCTTGAGCAGGACCGGTTCCACCTCCCTCATAGCGGACCCTTGCATGGGGAGTTTTGAAGGAGCACACAATTCATTAGTTCAATTCCATTGCTTATTGAGTGCAAAATATAGATCGGTTACCCAATGAATTACACACATAAGTGTCGTGTTTAGTGGAATTTTTACACAAGGGCTGGAGGATCTTCGAAGTCGGAATATGCATTATCATAGGCAATTCTATCTTTGTCTCCTTGACTGCACAAGAAATCGGCCCCTCCACGCTTTGTGTCCGACCAATACTAAGGGCAGATTCCTACAGCAAAACGTCAGACTAACCGCGGTTTAGACTCACCATCCCCGCGTCAGATGTGGGTGCAGGTGCCAAGCGTCGCAAAAGCTGTTTGCGATGTCACGTGCGTACGTTTCACTCACAAATAACGGTTCATTCAAACCAGCACCACGCAACTGGGCGAAATTTGAAGTGCGAAATGATATTTGCATGTTTGCTGATGCAATTAATGTGTTCGCTCATGCAGTGAACTTCTCGCCGATTATTGCTGGTTCGTTTCTGTGCTTTCCCACGCGTGCGAGGTGCGTCAGCACCGAGGTGCCAACCTGGGCAATTTGATCACCATGGCGATGTGCCATTGGCGGCAACGATTTTCCATTTTGTCGCATGTACTTTTCCACCAAAAATGATTCGCAAGCGCGAGCTGCATAGTCTGACGGGAGGCAGCCAATACAGAGAACCTCGCATCTAATGTGAGGTGATTCTGACGCGAGGCTGTAGGAATGCGCCCTAAGGGATCCAAAAAACTGTAAACCTCGAAATGTCCAACCTCGATCAAGTCACTAGGCCAACTTCCGTTGAAGGAGCCCTAGCCTGCAAAAGTGTCACGTTCCTGTGTCTGGTATCGTAAAGGTACCGCGGATCTCGCATGCACATTCCTGTAGTGCACGCACGAACCTCAACGGGTGGAGAGTGTACATAAGATTGACGCATGAACCATGATCAGACATGCTTGTACACTCCACAGCAAAACAGCATGGCTGAAGGAGATGCGCACCATTGTCGAAGCCTTTCACACGATGTTACTACACATATGTGTTCCCCACCATAGGTGACACCTCGCACTGCACCAGGCAGTCTAAGTGCGGAACCATCTCGAACGCGCATCTCTTTTCACAGGAAAGACCCTATACGAGCTTGTGGGTCATAAAAAACATGACCTGTAAATGGCACATATCTGGGGGTGCATGGTGTTGTACCTGCTGCCAGACCACATGCGCGGTGGCAAGCTCGCAGCCAACTCCTGCTAGGGACTCCATCGTAGGGTGTCACAACATCTGATATCTCATTCTATGAGATGCTATCGCTTGATGGCTAGAAGATGACGCCCGTGCCCCCGTCAGCAGATCGTGCCCCTACTCTGGGGTTGAGAATGGCCCATACTCAAATCACGCTTCTCTCTGAAGAGCAGCTCGAACGGTGTTGTCACAATGGCAGACACGATTGCTCTGCGCACCTTGGCGACTGACACACGCTCTTCTTCAGACGTGTGGCATGCCCGGTTGGCACATGCTGGGGTCGAGAAGATCAAGCGGACTACGGCGCATGGAGCACCCATGGGCTTGGACATTGAGAAGACCTCGAGCATTCATCTTCCGTCTGTCTCTTGCGTCGGTGGCAAGCTGTTCCGACACACCTTTTCGGCAGAGGGGAGTGACGAGAAGAAGGTAGTGCATATCGATTGTTCCATCAACTCTAGATCCTGGCCACCCTAAACACGTGGTTCACTTCTACATGGTATTATGAGCTAGTGCAGTTACATGAACCAATACAAGCTGATTTCGATTACACCCTTAAGCTTAAGTCATAGATCTATAATTATGTCAGGTGCTAAGTTAGGAAATTCAACTACGAATTCTCCTACTTCTGGTCTTTCTACTGACGATCTATCTGACTTCGCTTCTTTGATGGCTAAATAGTCTACTCAGCAACAACGACAACCTCCAATGCATCCTACAACTTCTATGAGCCTTGATAACTCTAGTTATGCAAGAGCTGCTGTTGCCGCTCGGCCTTCAGCCCTTGGAGATGAATATGCTGGGTCTTTTGCCTTCCATGGGCGACCTGTTCAACCACAGCAACAACAACAACCACAGCGGCAACAACATCAAATGGCATAAACAAGACAATCAACTGCAGAAGCTATCGTAAATCAAGCTGATTTCCTAACTATCTCATCTTGCACACTGGGGTTCTTGATCGATCTCCTATTCCCCCACCATAATACACGGCGAAAAACACGGGCAGCACGTTGGACGCCCTCGTGTCGATCACCAATACCGTCGCAAAAGCTGCTGTCGCAGCTGCCGCCAACGTACATTCGACCGAGGAGGATGTCGCGCCCGTGCGCCGCATGGCCGTCCGATCGAGCGGCGCGGGGTCGGCAGGTAACGGCGCGATGGACTGGTTGGAGCCGGGCTTGTACGCGCAGCTGAAGGAGTTCAAACGAGGATGACTGCCGGTGCTGCCTCTGCTGATGGCGCGGACAGTGATCGCCTGGAGAAGCGGCGATTGGACGACGACGAGGACGAGGACGACGACGACGAGGACGAGGACAACGACGACGAGAAGGACAAGAACAGCGGCAGCAATAGCAACAGTGACAGCGAGAAGAAGAGCAGCAAGAGCGGCAAGAGCAGCAAGAAGGCGTCCTCCACGGCCGGACCCACGGTCGTCAGCGGGTCTCTCGCAGCGGACGCGACAGTCAGGTCGGGGTACGCTACAATCCAGGATTCCGTGGACGCCGCTCCCGGCTGGCAGCGTTTCGTGATCTTCATCCCGGCTGGCATGTACAACGAGCGCGTGCTCATCAAGACGACGGACATCGTGCTGATAGGGGCTGGTGCTGACAAGACGATTATCACGGGTGATGCTAGCTACAGCAGCGGCTACGGCACGTTCGATTCGGCCTACAGTGGGCGTGGATAGCGACAAGTACGTCCCAAAATACCAGGACCAAAAATACGGAGTAGCTATACTCTAGGTACGGCATAGGTATGTCTACTACGAAGTAGCCTTGCTATACGAACAACTATACCTACAATATAGGTGAGATCCACATTTTTATGACGTACTAGAAACCACCTTGCTACCTATTTCCTCCCCTTCCTCCTCCCTCCACGGCCCCCCTTTCCTCCTACCCCCCCCCCCCCTCCTCCTCCCCCCGCAATCCATTCTTCCCTCTCCTTTCACAACCCCCCTTTCCTCCCTCATTTTCCCGTTGAACCGTCCCTCCCATCTCACCTTTCTCACCGCCTCTTTCCCGTTGAAATACTAGTTCGTGGCGTAGGGATCAAGTTTGTCAACACGCACGCGGCCTGGCCCGACACCACCAGGCGCAGACAAACCACCGCTGGTTCCTCCACGCAATGCCCCTCAGTTTTAATGACAATTTCCCCCCCTTTCTCTCTCTCTCTCTCTCTCTCTCTCTCTCTCTCTCTCTCTCTCTCTCTCTCTCTCTCTCTCTCTCTCTCTCTCTCTCTCTCTCTCTCTCTCTCTCTCGTCTAGGTTCGTTGCATTTGGGATCAAGTTTGTCAACACGGCTGGCCCAGAGAACCACAAGGCCATGGCATTCCGCGCCACGGGCGACCAAACCGCACTCTTCGACTGCGCGTTCGACAGGTCGCAAGATACAATGTATCTAAAAAATCCATCCGCCAGCAGCGTATGTTGCTGGCGGTACTGTGAAACATACCCCTCTCTTCGAAGGCATTTCGTGCTGACGAACCTGCGAGGTGAGTTTGGGGTGTGTTTTTTGGCGCGGCAGTCCGCTTTGGGTTCGGGCACACGTGGATGACATGGTTCATAGGCTCCCTTGGCTAGGCTCTTGCGCCGGACCTCAATTTTAGGGGAGGCACCTCATTATTTAGCCGGGTTGTACATGGATCTAACATTTAAACTGTAATGTTAACAATTTTGTATCAATGCTAATAGCTTGATCATTTGCTTACCACAATTTTACTTTCTTTGAGTAAATTAGGAATATCTCGTATTGATTTGTGGTTGGTGAATATTTCTACTTAAATATGCACAACACATGACATTTTGTTCTGGATGGCATTGCGGCCAAATGAAATTCATATTAGTTATTATGTTTCGACATTTTGTTCTGGATGGCATTGGCAACTCTGATTACTAGCCTAGTGGCTGCCCGGTTTTGGGGGAAAATGCGCATTGAACTAGAAGGCTCGATTGCTTGAAGGATAATTCTTATCAAATTATACCTTTATTTAGGGGTTGTTGCCACTTTTTTAGAGATGTTCAAAGTCATCAGTCTCAATGTAGCGACTTGACTTGAATAGAGCATACCAGGTAATTGTGTTCAAAGTTTTGTACTCTCTAAGGTATCCTCCTAGCAAGCCTATAAACATATACAGATATGTATGTTGACACAACCCCTAGGCTAGACAAGGGCCAATGCGTGTCAAGAGACACGAAGCTCACGGTGGCACTACTAGTCTAGCCTCTGAGGCAAGGGTCCGAAGACAGGTCAGCAAGGGTACAAACAACATAAGAGCAAACCAGGGCGAGACTACTAGTCCGGCCACTAATCACAAGGCTAGTCAGGAGAATATATGTAAAAGAGTAGTACACAATCAAGACCCTAGCAAGTGAGGAGCTACATGAACTAGACCAAGCTGTACACAGTGCCGCTGGAGATCTTTAGGTGCAAACGCCTTAGTAAAGATACCAGTTGTATTGGCACCGGCAGCCAAGTGTACTACGCTGGCTTGGCGGTGCTGCTGTAGCTCACGCAGGACGATGTACAGCACCTGGATGTGCTTTGCTCTGCCCTCGAGTCGAGGCTCCTGACACAGAAGGATCATGGCCCTGCTGTTAGTGTACAGGACCGGGGCAGAGATAGGCCGCACCTAAGTCTGTGAGCAACAAGGTCAGCGAGCGGAGCTCTTGTGCCGCCATGCCACCAGTGTAGATCTCAGCCTCATAGCTAGACTGCGCAACACATGATGAGCGGGTGGACCTCCACAAGCTTTCACATGCACCAAGGCTAAAGCAATAGCCCTAGGAGGACCTGAGCGTTTCAGCGTCGTCTGCCCACGAAGCGTGTGTGTCTCCGGTAAGGACCACTAGCTTGCGTCCTCCTAGCACTAGCCCCATACCTGATGTGCTTGCTAGATAACGCAAAACCCTCTTAGTCGCCGACCAGTGTTGCGATCGGCGTCTGCCTGTCTCCACAAAGTGAGCCAGGATGCTGAGAGGGTGTGCGAGATCTGGACGCATGCACATAATTAGGTACATGAGGCGACCCACCAGCTCAGCGTACGGACCACTAGGGTCTCTTAATCGTCAGGGACTGGAGCCGAGAGCCTGTGGTCTACTGGCAGAGGTGTGGGCTGTGCGGAGGAGAATTGAAGACCGTATCTGTGTTGGAACTAGCGCACCAAGTGTGATTGTATGAGATTGATGGTGCACGCAGCTCTGTCCTTGGTGAAAAATGCAGGCCAAGGTAGCGGTGCAGCTCTCCTAGGTTAGTATAGGTGTGTTTCCTCAGCAGCTCGGCCTTCACGGAGGCCAGTGCGTCTCTGTCTCTAGTAGCGAAGACCAGGTCGTCTACGCAGGCAAGGATGTAGAACGGAGTTTCGCATGCGCAAACGAATAGCGAAGGGTCTGTAGAGGACGGGAAGAATTGCAGGTCAGCTAACGTAGCACGCAGTGTGCCGTGCCACTCTCGGGGCGCCTGTTGCATGTCGTAAACCGGGCGTTGTATGAGCCACTAGGTCCCCGGGGCGAAGGTGCCGATGAAGCCTCGCGGGCGGCGCAGGTAGACCTGCTCGTGTAGACTGCCCTGAAGAAACGCTGCCCTGAAGTGCATATCATAGTCGCGTTTACAATATGCCCTTCAAAATTTTTGTGCCGCGTATTATCGAACTGTACAGGGCGCCAAACCGCATCCAAATTTTGATTTCGAAACCGGTTAGAACGAGGTGTTGGTATGTGCTGTCAACAGCCTACCAGTCTTACTGCAAACTTAATAGAGCTGGGGAGGTGGTTCTCTGCCAAAATGAAAGCTCCAAAATGTGGAAGCCCTGCATATGCCTAGCTCGAGCCCCGCTAGCTTGCACGAACAAACGCTGACTCTGGGAAGCCAGTCTTTGCAAAAATACTTTCGTTTCTACACTTCTTTTACGGCCAATTAGATTGTGCCGCCCCACCTACCTGAACAGTGCAAATATGCAACCAGCCGGGCGGGCTTTAACGATTCTGAAAACATACCCCCTAAAAAAAAACACAAAATCTCTACTGCCACATTCCATGACCCAAAAGAGCCCATCTTTTGAATGGGAGTACTTCTTGCATACGGCTATCCCCATTGAACTTCAGCTCTTGCAAAAAATAGCGCAAAAGCAATAAAATGGTGCTAAGTTCAACGAAGGAATAACAACCGTAAAAAAAAACCCCAACATACATTAAACATGTTCTACTACCACATTTCGTGACCGAAAAGACCCCAAATTCAAATAGGACGTATGTATCGCATAAGTCGAACACGTTTATTTGGACCCTTGCGCGGAGTGGCATAATTACATTGAAATGATGCAAAGTTTCTTGAGAGCTAATATGTATTAAAGAATAAACCGCCTAGAATTATTAAAGCCACTCTACTACCAATTTACGTGATCCAAAAGGGCCCAAAATCAAACATGTGGTAGCCCCTGTATATTTCTTCTCCAGTTTACATCGAACCCCACAAGATATGGTGCGATAACACTGAAATAGTGCTATGTTTCATCATGGGGTACCGTTGCTTAAAATTACCCCCAATGGATTCTCAAAAACCTCTACTGCCAACACCAATGACCCGGGAGGAGGTAGTTGTTGCATAAGCCTATCCCTAATGATCTTAAAACATCGCAAGAACATTAACAATACCAATAAAATGACGCTGGTTTCTATGAGGGCGGAACGTTACTAGAATATACTGTAAAAATATATATATTTGTTATATAATTGGTAGGCTTGGAAGGTACAACCCCCCTCCTTGTATCCCGCTCTCTTCTATTCTCGACCTCTTTTCTCTCCTCAACTTTCCTAGCCTAAAACCTCTCGCCATTTCTATGGCTTCCTACCGTTCCTAGCTACCTTAGTTTAACATGGTTTCAGAGCAGGCCCCTTTCCCTCGGGCCTTCTCCTCACGCTTCTGCAGTGTACTCCCCCCCCCCGTCATGCCGCGCTGGGCCCGTCACGCCACGCTGGTCCCGTCACGCCGCGCTGGCCCCGTCCCTCCGCGCTGGCCCCGTCACGCCGCGCTGGCCCCGTCACCTCACGCCGGCCCCGTCACGTTGCCGTGCCTCAGTGCCTCAGTGCCGCCGTGTCGCTGTCCCACCATGCCGCCGTGCCACGGGGCCGCCGCACAGCCGCGCCGCCGTGCGGCTAGGTCGCCGTGCCGCCGCACCGCCGTGCCACTGGGTCACTTCGCCACGCCAGCGCATGGACAGCTGCGGCCAGTGCCCTGTCCTAGGCGCCAGTTGTAACGCCCTCACACCAGTAAGTGTCGTGCCAGCCATGGTGCCTCGCTGAAGATTCGCCTCGCCCCCAGCCCCCCTCGCCCCCCCCCCCTCCCCCTCCCTCTCCTTCCCCCTTGCCAAGGAGATTGGCCATGCCGCTGAGAGGGCGGGGGCCGCTGCACTCGCCACTGACATTGAAGCCGCCACCGCCGCCGCTGTTGCCGCTGGCCTGTTGCCGCCGCACGCCGCCACCACCGTCGCTCTCCTCACTGCCGCGACTGCCGCCATTGCCATCTCCCAGGCCGTGGGTGTTGACCGATTCCGGAGACATCGAGGCTGCTGCTGGGAAAGGACGGGCTAGGTTAGGGGGTGTGGGTATATGTGGAATTGTTACTACCAAGCCTAGGGGGTGTGTTAAACTATATATTTTGTTTAATAATTGGTAGGCTTGGTAGGTGTTACTGAAACCCATTGTAGAGGGTAAAACCCCCCTCCTTCTATCCCTCTCTCTTCTATTCTCGACCCCTTTTCTCTCCTCAACTTTCCTAGCCTAAAACCTCTCGCCATTTATATGGCTTCCTACCGTTCATAGCTACCTTAGTTTAACATATACCCCCAACGGATATGTAGGGGGCTGTAATGCCCAATTGTGAGTCCTGAGAGGGCCCACAATCGCATGACTTGGGTGTATGTGCTGCCCAAGATGAGTGACGTAGCTGAGACGGTGAAGACCGATTGGTTGCCGACGGTGGAACGGCATGAAGATCGGCTTGTGAAGGCGATTCGCACTGATCGTGGAGGAGAGTTCCTGAGCAAAGACGTCTAAAATTGGCTGAAGCAGCAGGGCATAAGGCACTCTCTTACCATACCCTACTCTCCTGCAATGAACGGCATCGCCGAGCGTGCGAATCGGACACTCACGGAGACGGCTCGGGGACTTCTCATTGAAGCCGGTCTACCCAATTACTTTTGGCTGGATGCGGTGCGGCATGCTTGAGTGGCCAAGAACAGAGTCTTGACTCATGTGGGAGAAGACAAATGGGTGCCCTATATGGATTGGATTGGAAGGAAGCCGAAGGTGGATATGCTTCGGGTGTTCGGATGCATGTGCATGGCATTTGTCCCTAAGAAACTTTGGCACAACAAGCTTGATGCCAAGACA